AGACAGACAGACAGACAGACAGACAGACAGACAGACAGACAGACAGACAGACAGACAGACAGACAGACAGACAGACAGACTAAATAAATAAATAAATGACAGACAGACAGACAGACAGACAGACAGACAGACAGACAGACAGACAGACAGACAGACAGACAGACAGACAGACAAACAAACAAACAAACAAACAAACAAATAAATAAATAAATAAATAAATAAATAAATATTTGTACTGTATACATGAGCGGTTTTTGTCCACGCAATCTATCATGGAGGTATAACAAATGAAATGGCGCCCTCTACATCACTTGGCGTTTACGCAGTAAAACCATTGATCTACAAATCGTATTGTTATGTTAAGTCATATAAGTACATTTTCATTGGCAAAGTGTCAAAGGTCAACAAAAATGTTAGCCCAGACAGATTTCAAATTAGGCCACTAAAAATCTGTATCGTTAGAAAATTGAAGAATGTTGCCTCTGGCATCCAGTCACCATGTAGGCTCCAAGTAGACATCAAATGCACTACTTTCAATACAGATTATTTCTGAATTGTAAGAGAGACATTGCACTTGACATACCTGTTTCACAATAATAATAATAATAATAATAATATAATAATAATAATAATAATAATAATAATAATAATAATAATAATAATAATAATAATAATCATAATAATAATAATATTATAATAATAATAATAATAATAATAATAATAATAATAATAACAACAACAACAACAACAACAGCAACAACAGCAGCAGCAACAATAATAATAGTGTAGTTTTATATAGCGCATATATCCATCTAATATAAGATGCTCAGTGCGCTTGATATGTGGAATAGAAACTCCATCAATGACTTTCTTCGCCCCTAAGAATCCCTTCGTGTCTGTTCTACCCGGTACCAGCAACTTTCTCGTCGTTCACTACAGGGACTGTTTGTTCCTGTACACTGGGGTAACCCCCTACTCGTTTCGGAGGATGTACTGGGTTCTTTATAGTGCACACGAGCCATTGTATACACTGGGCCTACGGTTTATAGTCCTTATCCGAGAAGTTCTACCACCAGAACCACAGGCGAGCGTGCCGTTCGAACCAGCGCCGATGCTATAGCTTGCGGCACCCCTGCTAACCGCCCCTAGTCATATAATGCGTTTATCAAAATAAATTATTTCTTTATTGATTAAGAATATATGGGATTTACAGAGACTAAATGTAATATTAGGTTTGGTAATTCAGTCCCATTTAAGAAAAACAAGCATATAACATTTAGCAAACCTTTCCAAATGTTATACGCTTGTTTTTCTTGCCATATTTATTGCCTTGTTTTATATTATACTTTTTATTAAGAATATATTTTATAAGAACATTGAAGCTGAAATTGCTTAAAAATTAGGAACGATCTAAGAACAAACTGAGGCTGAGGTAAAATGTATGAGCTATTTATTAAAAAATAAAAAAAAAAAACAAAAAGAAAAAAAAAATAAAAACCAATAAAAAATAACCAGCAAAATTTTGGGTCATATTCAACATCTGCTCTATTATAAGAAATAATTGGGCATATACCTGGATTTGCAACATTATTTGCAGCGCCAAGACGAACAACCCCGTGGACGGCCATCTTGATCTGATGTGTATCTTTAGGCAAATAGAAAAAAAATGTTAGATTATCACTCCCACCCGCGTCAAAAATTTGGGAAATATTGATGCGGGAATTTAAAAAAAATAAAATTTTCCCGCATTATCTATTGTAACAGCTTTAAAAAGCAATGCAATTTTGTGACTGGAAATACATTTTCTTTGAAAAAACAATAAAATTAAAAATATTCTTATACAATATTTACAATATTCTTGCCAAAGAAAAACATTTCCTCCCTCATAAATTAAAAAAAAAAAAAGCAATATTCTATTGTACCAAAGACCAACTAATAGAAAGGTCCAGTAAAAGAGAAGCGAATAAAATGCAAGATTCACAAAAAAAAAAAAAAAAAAAAAAAAAAAAAGGAGTGATATAATAATATGTTCAGACTTGGACATAAGCCAGGCTTGAGTTAAGCCCGGCTCAACGTTAAGCCCGGCTTAACTTTGCCAGGCGTTCAAACTTGCGGGTTTAGCCAGGCGAGAATTTGCATAATAATGAACCGTAACCGGGAAACGAGTTTTGAAACATTGGGCTCGAAAAATTGGTCATTTTTTTACCGGGAGTCAATGCAAGACCCCGGTAAAAAAACAAAGTTCGTAGGCTCGAGCTGGGGGAAGGGGATGAGAGGAGGATCCCCCTTCCAACTGAGATTTTTTTAAAGAATATCAACCTCTGGATGGCCGAAAATGGCACTCTCAGACTGTGACAGACATGTGTTGGCTTGGTGTGGGCCTATTTTTATATGTTTTATGGTCTGACTGCCCGACGAGCTCTGTCCGGCGGGGGTTTGACCTCTCCGGTTGGGGACTTAAGCCCCCCTACCCCTGCTGGCGCCACTACTGAAAACATCTCTTCAATACAGAACAGTGATATACTGTTGTACACTAATAATTGTCTAGCTTTGAAAAGTGTGTGTAAAGTAATAATAAGATAAGAACATTTTCAGTCTGAAATTTGCGAACACTCATATGAGCCTGGGCCAGCTTTTACTGGTTCTTAAAAAAAAAAAAAAAAAAAGGTGTATGTGAATTTTAAAATTAAGTCATGTTTATTTTAAAGAAAGTATAAACCGGAATTTATTGTGTACCGAGTTGTGCACATTGAAAATAAATCGACTTTGTATCTTGTATTGTTTGTCTACTTGTTAATATGCTTTATCTTTCATAATTTCAGTTTATATAAAAGTGCGGCCCAGACTAACGCCTACAGTTATTACCGTATCTTGTATATTTTAAGCCATTAACGAGGGTGACCCGTTCAGTTAATTCCCAACTACTAGGTCTTTCTAGGCTCATTATTTCATTTGTTAAACTTTATAGAGTGTTGACCTTCCAGCTAGGCTGATATTGAGGGGCTCTCTGCAAAATTATATTAGGCCCCTAAGTAAACAATGTTTAAGTTGTGTGATGACAAAACACATCGCACAAAGATGAATAAGCGAACATTCTTGGTTCTTGTTGATTTTTTTTAATGGATTTAGATGCGCTCTGCACGGGTGGCGCCAGAAATGGTGGGGTGGGGGGAAGCTGGATCACCGTCTGTGACAGCTTCCCACCACGACGGGGAGAAAATCAGAATTTCGGGGAGAATGAAAAGTTGTTGTTATTATTATTATTATTAAATAAGCACTTAAAACCACTAAATTGTCATAGTTTCCGGGCCACTCCTAATAGATTTTGGGCTACCACGTCCGACCAAGCCCACTAACGCTCCCGTCGGGGAGTTGCCCACCCCCACCTCGTCGGAGACATCGGACCGGTCGGGAAAATCTTGGCACTCTGTGTGGACCCGGAACCCGCTGAACTCCTGCTCTTTCTTAGTAGGCCTATGGAATTATATGTAGGGAGCACGGTACCCTCCTGCTTCATTTGCTGAAATACTGTAAACCTTTTCACATTATTTTCGAGGTCCCTATATTTGTAATTGTTCAAATTCATAAATATAGGTCGCGGTTTTTATTTTTTACAATTTTACAATTTACAGTCTACAGTCGTTTTTTAAACATTTTTAACAGAAACCTACCATTGTGTTTTTCTGCCATTATTATAGCTAGAGCTTCCGATTTTGGTGGGTTTTTTCCCAATATTTCAAGCAATTCTACTTTCGTGTAACCGAACACATTTTCGAAGACTTTTTTATGTTCCCTTTCTCTTTGGCAATGTAGAAAATCGATTTTCTTAAAATGAAACTCATTAACTCTGCTATAGTATTGACAATGTTTAAATTTAACTTTATAGAATTATCTTCCATTCTTGCCGACGAATTTTGGTTTTTCTCACCGGCGGGTGGGTGTGGGGGAATCCCTCCCTGACAGGGGGACCTGGCCCCTCGGCTCCCCCACTGGCGCCACCACTGCTCATGCGAATTTGTTCATACTGTAACTTGTATTAGCCCGTAGTTAAAGTATTTATTCAACACCGCAAGGACCAACCGACTGGGTTCTGTTGCTTGCCAACTGCGAAGACAAATGATGGTACTGACAGACTCCCGTGGATATTCTGGTTAATAAATGTATATTGCGTAATGAACTTCAATCACATTGACATAAATTAATTTGGTGAACACAACGATAAATTATTTATGGTTATTTAAGAACATCAATTTTTTTTTAATTAAAAAGTTTTATCATATGCCGTTATATAGCCTACATTCCTGTGTTTTCCAATGAATAAAATGTTATAGAATGCGGAAAACATTGGTAGATGATGTAGGCATATCCTACGACTACTTCGGAATGTCATTAAGCATAAAGAAGCCAGATTAGCTTATCTTAAAAAGTCCATTATAGTTGGGAGATATAATTGAAATATTGTGCAAAAAATAGCAGTATAATAAATTACAAATATCAAAGTAGAATATTCGCGATATTGAAACAGCTGGGTTCCAAACGAATACATTCCTTATTATTATTAATCATTTTAATTAAGCATACCGATGATTATTTCTATTGGCCTATATTTCTTTGTTTTTTTTTTTTTTAATTTAAGATTAAGAATGAAAAGATTTATATTATGGACTTCAGCCTATTGGCCTCTTAAATTTGTCCTAATTCATTCATTATGATGTGTTTTATTGTATCCGAATTGTGTCAGTGAAGATTTAGGCCTCACTAGGCTACTCTTCCGTGTACCGAGTGATAGTAGTTCAAAATAATGTTCCCAACTGTGACATTGGAATGTCAAGAACTTTGAGAACTGACAGACGGGGACGAGTCAACCCTAGGAGAGCGCTGAAAAATAATTTAATCGTCTCGCGTTTCGAACTCTGTGCCTGGCAAGTGCCAATAACAACAGCATACAAAATACATTACTGCATTATTAATTCACCACTGTAGGGGGCGGGCTCCATTATCTGTGCTTTGGCACTAACAAGAACCTCCACCAGGAATTGAGACCACAGGTCAGAATCTAGTTTTCAAAATACCAGTTATCTTCAAACTCTTTTCGACCAATGCGATTGAAAATAATGCGGACATCTTTCACTGGTGGAATACCTAATCCATCGTAAATCAAAGATTTTATTCTACCAATGCTTTGAGCTCATTTATTTTGCTAAGGCTCTGGTATGGTTGAATTTGTCGTTTTTGTAAGTTAGGTCTGTAGAAAGGAACTTAGTGAATCTTGGAAAGTTCTTTCAGAGGGATAATTTCGTCTTTTTGTATCGTATAACATTTCGAAAAATGTGGATGTTAACAGAATATTTCATGGTACTTTTTTTACTTCAACTGGGCCATGTAAACTTAGAACCATTGGCTACGGACATACTGAAAAAAAGTTTCATTGTAGAAACTAACGATGAATTGTATGCAGCATACCTTTCAAAAATCATTGAAGCCCTCTCTTCCTCAAGCTCAAATGATGCGGGGCAGTATGTTTTACAACCATTTTCAGAATCTGGTAAGTATATACAATTTATGTAAATTTGTATTACGTAATAATTTAGTACGTGTGACGTCATCACAATTCTATTTCTATATCTTGTCATATTACAATTTTTTTTTTCGATTTTAATGATAAAATGGGTATCATTCATGGCAGCAATTATATAAGTGGAACTAATTATTATAGAAGATCTATAAATCTAATAAATCAATAAAATGAAAAATAATACACAATTACGTATAAATTGTTATTTATCTAAACGAAATTTGGTTAGATTTAGATAAGAGGGTGCTTTATAAAATCTTACATTGTCATCATTATCATTATCAATCAAACATCGTCATCGTCTTTGTCATCATCATCATAATAATCATCATCATCATCATTATCATCATCATCATCATCATCATTTTTATCCTCATTATCACCACCACCATATTCTTTACCATTCTCATTTGCATTATCAATATTTTATAATCACCATTATCATCTTCAACATCATTATCATCATAATTCTCATTAATAATAACAACAACCACAATAATAATAATAATAATAATAATAATAATAATAATAATAATTATAATAATAAAATAATAATAATAATAATTATTATTATTATTATTATTAATAAAATTATTATTTATTATTATTTATTATTATTATTACAGGTATTATAAAAATTAAGCTACTATAACTGTTAGCAAATAATTTAATGCATGTAAGAAGATTAATCATGAAGATACAGGCCTAATGCAAAAAATAAATATTCAACAAACTATGCTTGTTTTGATGACAGGCATTTTATGATTTTGGCTTTTTCCTCTTTTTTCATTTTGTAGTTTAAAGGTATACATGTAACAATGTGCTCTCATAGACAAACAAAACAAATAGAATAAAAACATAAGCATAAAAAGAGGAAGATCTAGACATTAGAAAAACAGAATTGAGTCATGAATAGTTAATATGCTATTCGTTGTAATGCTTTGATAGAGGGACAGAGTAGGATGTCACTAAATATGTCAGACGATCTGAGAATAATACTTATTTCTTGTGATTCACAAAGACAGATAATAATTTTAACGATGAAAACATAGGATAAATTATAATAATTAGGCCTATGGTTGAAGTAAACGAAATTTATGTTTAAGTTAAATCTGCAATGAAGTTGAGTTGGTTATTTATCCTGTAAATTAACCTGGGCCACGAACAGAAGACCTGTGGCCAAAGATCATCGAATATAGCCCTGCGGCGAGCAACCTCCACCTAAGCGGTGCGTATGTGCTGCACCGCGTGAGTCTAGTAAACGAGTGAATTTGAAACAGGTTACCGCTGTCCACTGTAATATTGAAGGCCTATTGTCCACCTGTGAATCTTTATTGCAATTATTCTACTGAATTACGGTGAATGAATATATATTTTATTATAATAACAGTTATATATATTCATTAAGCGCATACAATTGTGTATAGTAGTCTGTGAATTTTTTTATAATAAAAATGATGAAAATAACAAAATATAAATCATTCTTATTAATATTGTAATCAACTTCCTTTTTTAAGGAGAGCATGTTTAAAGACACTTCTTTCGCTTTTCTACTTTGCTTTACTTTTTTTTATATTTCAGTGATACATAGGCTAGTTATTATTGTACCACTGTTAAACACAAAGACCTATTATTTCGCTTATTTCCGTAATCCAGTATAATTATGACTTTTTATATACTTTACTGTATGATGATTTTGATTTTTAAATAAAACATTGAAATGAATTGAAATAATCTATAGTTGAAATAGAAACATTGTAATTTGTTATTAATTTTAAAGAGAGTACAAAATATACTCATTACTCACTTTCACTTTCCCCCGCCATTCCGCATACTGTATATAATAATGATGATTGTAGTTGACATCATATTTTTGTTTTCATTTCCGTAAAAAAATACATACACTCTGTATCCTTCTACTAGATATTTGCACTCTCGTGAATATGATCAAAATGGATGACCCTCAGCGAGTCCATCCACATGAGATATTTTTATTAATGAATATTCCATGTAACGAATAAGCTTAATGATTTTCCTAAACCAAGTTGGAAGAAGGTGGTCTTGTAGTATGACACCATGCCAGTTATCTTGAAATCGTCGGTTCGATTCCCACCCGAATCCCTTGCGATTTATTTCGCAAGTTTATTATGGGAACGTACTTTGTATCCAGTACGATAAAACGTCCGGTAGGGCAAAGTATCACTCCTATGATATTTTTTTGACCCAAAGACAAATCGAAATAACATTAAATCTGTTAACGATTACAGTAGGATATTTATTGGAATGCAATGCACATCACCATTCAATAAAAAAATTAATAAAGTTGTAGGATTGCTTCTAATGAAATAATTCAGAGAGAAAATGGAATTAATCTACCGGGACGGGCTGTTTGTAGTTTGTTGGCTGCCATCACAGTTGGGTGTTGTGTCTCCCATGGTTGAATATCACAACCATCAAAATTGAGTTTGACCTACATGACCAACACAATAATTAAAATCAGACATTTTATATATGTATTTATTTGTTCATTTTATTAATAATAATAATAATTATTATTATTATTACCACTATTTATATTATTAGGTCTGATCTGATATTAATATCATTATTATCATAATTGTTGCCGAATAAGCTGAACTATTAGTATAGAACTATTATCATTATTATTAAATTAGTATCATCATCATCATCTTCGTCAACGCCGTCGTTGTCATCCTCGTCGTCATCATTATTATTTTAATTTTACTATTATTAGATATGATAGACATGTTAAAAATTATATTTTATTACTTAAATATTTAATTTTATACCATTATTCATCGTCATTTATAACGTTATTATGATTAAGCCTAACAGAGATAAAATTCGTATTCCAGGATATAGCTAAGGCCTTCAGGCATCAAAATCAATATGGATGCCTACTGTGAAAGTTTTAATTATTCAAAAACTATGTTGAAATAATTTATATAAACATTTATTGCGCAGGTTTGGCCGAGAATTAGTTTTTCTGTTTCTTGCAATGAAGACTTTGGTTGAAACCCAGGTAGCATCGGTTTATAATTAATTTAGTATGGATAGGAAACAACGTATTCCTTACATGTGCATTCTGGCTTTGCACTTGTGGCTAACGCAATTCCCAAGGGCTAAGCCAACATTTCAATTTTCACATATTTCAAATCTCAATTTAAAATAAGACAAATATTTTAAATAAATTTTCTAGCTAAGTTATTTCTTTTCCACATACGTCACCGTTAATAAATTAAAAGTTAAAAAAAAAAAAAAACATTTTAAGATATTGCATAAAATGATCAAATTATTCTCAGTGATACCAAGATTAAACAAATAAGTTTTCAACAATAAAGACCCCTTACTACTAAACTACTTAAATGGATTACCACAGATAATATCATTAATAGTAGTGCTAAAGCGAAACAACGTTTTTGGACAATAAATTCCTTAGTAATAAGTTAAATTATATTCAGTGACATATAGGCCTATTTAAGATTTCTTTACTTTCTGTTCTGGTCGTGATGTGCCCTACGTTCATTATTTCATGTCAATATCGTTATCAAAGTGGTCCTTAAAAGATATCAATTATGGTGATAATTAGACCATTGTTGGACTACTGGGTGGTAGTCACATCTCCGTTTCTGCCACGAGCAAAGCAACTAACTTTCGTCAAACTCCCCGCTGAGTGCTCTGTTATTCTTTGTATTCAAAGTGGTCTCGCCCGTGGTAACTATTTTCCTAAAGATGTTTTGTGCTGCTAACTCTCTATAACCCCGATGGGTTATTTTAAGCAAGTATTTTAGTAAATTGTAAGCTTGTTATAGACCTATTGATTTCATCATGAATTGTAGGCGTATATCTGCAAAAGCAATATTTAAAGGTAAAAGGAAACATCTCCCTCAACAAGCAAGAACGGAACATGTTTTTACTCCCTAACCAACACAAACCGTTTTTTTTTTTTTAATTTTAACTTTCGTGAACGTTGTGGTTAGTTTATGTAACACAACGTTTTAGCAACGCTTGCAACATTACTTAGTGAGAAGTTACTTTCTATATACGTACTTATTTTACAAAAAAGCTAGCCAACAAACTCCTATTAAAAACGTTATTATAACATAAAAGTGTTGGCTAGATCTTTTATATTGTTATTTGGTTATTCTATTTTGATTTATTGATGTCTGATTCGTTTTTCTTTTTCTTGTATATTTTTAAATAATTATGATGTTTTTATATTTATATTGATAGTTTTTATTGTAAATCGTACACCAATTCATCCCATCTGGTTGCTATTGTATTGATGAAAAGAATAATTTAATGATAAATAAATAAATAAAATACTAAATCATAATAACTTATGCGAATGGAAAAGGATTCAAAGAGTCAGGCACATTTTAAAAAGTTTTAACAGAATAAACTTTCATATTCATTGTACCGGCGGTCTTGTTTGACATCGTAATCACAGGATTATAGTCATAAATTATTTAACAAAGGCACTCACGTGTAGGTGTCTTCGTGAGAATCAAAGCTTGGCAGCATGGTTTTGTCAAAATTAGTTAAATCGAACCCGAATTATGAAGTAACGTTACATATTTGCGGTAATCAAGACCACGAGTAAATATTGCAACATCAGCACCTGACTGTGGAATAGCCGATATCTGTCACTATTTAAAACAATTAGCGTAATGTTTACTGACACATAGGCCTACTAGAATGGGTTAATCCGAAAGTATGATAAAATACGTTTTTACAATACATATGCATCTCATTACTCACTTGTGCGAACGTTTTATCTTAGGAGTTAATGAGTTTTTGTATAATTCCAAGTTTGTCTTTGCTGAATTTTATTTGAACTTCGTTCTTTTCATTCACGAAAGTATCGAATACTTGATCATCATCCGTTCCAATCTTTGTTCTCACACATCGACATTTAATACAGTAAGCTTGTAAACTATGTTCGTGGTATGTCAACTTTGACCTTTAAAAGATGGTCATGAACATAAGAGACACCTTGGTGTCATGCAAGAGGATCACTTTCTTAAGAAAAAAAAACACACACACACAAGAAGGCAAAATGGTAATAAAGAACTGGGAATTGATTTAGAATTTCGAAATGACACGGCATATAGATTGTACAAATAATATAATTGTTTTATTGATTAATATCATTTGAAGGTAAACTAGTTATGAAAGTGCAGGTGATCTATTAAAAGTTTAAACGAGGTATTGTAGACATTTATTGGTTGGTTGGAATATTAAACCTAGTTCACGAAGAAACAGCACGTTTTCTGCTTCTGGCAAGCATTCCAACTAATAAAGCTATGAATCTGGGAGAGACCAAAAATTAAAGCCTGACTACCCAAATAAAGAGATTCAGTGGTTACTGTTCCTGAATATCTACCGTGAGTTTCTCGAACAATTTAATCTCGAGCAAATGTCTAAACCTATAATTTATTAATAATGTAGTCTATTATATCGGGTTACTAGGATATATTCCTGGTCTAGTTTGTTACAATTACTTTCGTTTTATCAAAGTAAATTGGTATAAATATAGTATGTCCATGTGTGTTTTCTAAGGATAGTATTACCTAAAAACCGGTTACAATATTTGAAAATATTCTTAAATTTCAAAGTTAATTACAGGAATTCTTTTATCCACTATATTTTTCGTTAACCGTGCTGCACCTGTAATATTATGTTACATTATCCTTTAGATGAAAACATTCTTTAAATAGTTCATATGTGTTTACGAAAATATATGGAAGTATTTTATTATAATGTTTTTGGAGCATAACACATTATTAGTTTTTATAAATAAGTCAGCAATTTGTAATAGTGAAATTAATGGAATACTATATAAAATTAGCCTCATCGTCATGACTTAAACTTCAATACATGATCGATCGATCATGTTGATGATGATTAACTGGTTAGTAGACTCCGATAAAAAATAATACCTAAGTTGTTGCCTTAATTCAGAAAACTAGTGTATTTTAAAAAGACAATGTATACACAACTTTAAATGAAATATTGTTTGTTTATTTTATTAGTATTGATTGTATAAAATAGAAATTCTAAACTCTATTGACTTTTTCGGTAAATTTTTAAAATACCGTTTCGATACATAACATTTGTTTTTATCTACGCATATTTCTTGCGAAGTTGTTGTTTGTTTATATTTAGAAGGAAAATAGATCTATATTAAAGCTCCATAGGAACACTTCTATCTACCACCACCGGCTAATAAATCTGTAATTGAAACTTATAACATCGTTTAACAAAATATTACTTTTTAACAGCATTTGAAATCTTAGAATAACAAAAAGACTTTTACTTAATTAATCAGATTAGGTTGGAGTTACATCATTATTTACCATTTCATGGAAAGATATTTAAAGTTTTACTCAAAAAGTAACAATTGTCTTGCTGTGTCAGAATTAGTCAGTCATGCTGGGATTCTATCGAAATTACCTTGTGCCTCCCTCTGGATGATTTACCAATAAAGGTGATCTGTCGAATAACAACAGCAGAGGTAGGCGTGATTGGCACTTTCTGGAGTTGTTATCAAAAATTGGCGCCGAAAGGAACAATATATCTGCATGTGAGTGGGAAGCAAATGTGATTTGGTGTCATAACGATTGCATATTTTGCTACAAATCTCACTTGTGAAAATAAAGAAAAGTTTTCTCAGGATCCCTTTCAAAGTTCAACGGCACTTATAAAAATTCCCAGTCTTATTGTTGATAAAAATCAATAGATATGATTACACAGTTGCCTTTGTGATTGAAATTGATAACAGTAAATCTGCAAAAAAATGTATTGTTTCAATAACTTGTCACAATCCATTAAAAAGCTTCACCTCAAACCATCGGTTGTCCTTGTATAAAATTCAATTACTATTTTAATAAAATAGATCTAATATCGCATTGTTTTCGATATTTTTACAAGTTTAAATGTCAATAATACCAAAATCTTTTAATTATGGGATAACATACAATTTCCGGCTGAGTAATGGGTATAATATAGTTATCGGATTCTTATGGAGCCTTTTGAATAAACAGTTGTATGGACCTTTTGAAAAGTGATATGTCGAAATAATTTACCTTCTTCATTTTGACCTACTTATGTGTTCATTATAAATAACTTTTCACCAATGCTCATACCTGATCGGTTAACTGAGAGGCCTCATTTTTTAACGGTTCAACACGAAAGACCATCTGTTGCAGAGAAAATATAAAGAAGTTGACCTGTCCCCAAATCAGAAATTCGTATCACTAATTTCTCCACATATATGTTATTTATCATCAAGAATACCAGTACGACTTATTTTCAGCTGACTTTTGATAAGATAAACTTGAATGGTCACCCTCTATAAATAACATTATATCCAATCAAATCCACTAACTTACATTCCATTTGTGTTACAGATGTTCCAATTCCTATCATATCAAACAGCTTAGCCGAAATGCAAGAATCAATCGTGTCATTGCTTGTCGAAGACAGTCAAAATTGCTCAGCACATGGTCTAAACAGTTTGGCATTGTATAGCGGCCTCAATAGTTCGGCATCAAATTCACTTGTAGTTGTTCTTAGTGGTACATCTGCTAAACCAGACGGAACTTTCATTCCGGAAATTTTAGATCTCGTCCAGAAAAAGCAACTCAGGGTAAGTTTAAAAACTCTCCTATCATACATATACTCGATTGATTTATCTATAGATTAACCCACCAGACCGACCGAAAAACAATACGGTATGAACACACAGACAACAAGAAAAAAAAAAAAAAACCACAGGATATTCTCCAAAATCATTTTGAAACATCAATTGTCTAAAAAAAAATGTTTTTAGACAATTTTATATAAAATATATATTTTTATAAACTTTGTTTTTGTTGCATAGTGAGCTTAAGGGTATAAATTTTTGTTTAACATAATTGCCAACTCTAATTTAATGAATTTTCATCGTGTTAAATAATTCTAACGATGATAGTGCGTCAGCTAAGTTTATTGGTAATGGTTTATTATCCTTTATGATGTACATCAGAAAATATGTCCATGACTTTTAGGCAACGACTTCACAACTCAACAAATGGTTAATATAAGTATAATGAATAACATTCCATTATTCAGCAATGAATTCAAACTAGAAATATATTCATAGGTTTTATGTGTTAGTTAGGACAGACGATGTGTTCCATGAGCTTCATTTCCTCTGGCTCTTCGTCTGTTTTTATACCTAATTATTTTATTATATTTCTGATATTTCGTTTGTGTTTTATATGACTATTTACTTGTTTACGAAATAAAGATATTGAATTGATTTGAATAATTATGGCATGTATGTTATTTGTCAAGTTTAGATATATGAATTTGATGCAAACAAAACATTCTCTTTTATTATGTTTCTTAACTTTTCATTTTAATCTAGGTCATCTTTCTTGTATCTGATGAGTGTACGGAGGATGATATTGACGATGGACTTCGGCTGATGGAACAAATTACGGAAGTTAGTTCGGGCGTAATATTTTCATTGGACACCCTAAATATTAGCCAGGTAGGCATATGTGGTTGACCTTATTATTTTTTGTAACGATAATTATTCATTTTACTGATATTGATTTTACTGATAATGATAATTTATAGTAGGCTTACAATAAATGTTTGTAATTTATAAAATTCGTTTAATGACATAGTTTATTGTTTCTTTTCTTAATTGTGACGTCAAAATTGTATCACCGTTTTCCTATTTCTCAATACACAGTAATTTTCATAGTTAATTTGGACTTTTTTGACAATTTATATAAGCGTGTGTGTATGTGTGTGTTGTATAAAAAACCCGATGCCAAGTTGTTTTAAATTAAAAATAACAAAACACGAATACTAGAGACGATATAAGGCGAATTCTTTCAACACATAGGCCTGTGACATATGTAAATATGTAAGTAAGATTTATTACATATATAGACTTATATATACATAGATAATTATATTGCTCAAATGAAATACATGTTATTTTTCGTATCAAGCATAGCCCTTCAACGAAGCCCTTATTTTGAAGAGCTATGCTATTCCTATTCGAGCATGCACTGTATTATTATTCAAAACTGTGATTTGCATAACTTTTTTTGAAGGTCATCCGATTTATCCAAACATTTGAGTATGGTGAAGATGCAAGTCTTATATCCCCAACGTTGTCCTCGCCAGGCGTTAGTTCTTATGCGTTGATCGTTGACGATTCAGTGGAACAGCTTTTAGTGATCCTAACTGGGCTCGAACCAATAATTTCAATCGCAGATGTTGAAGGTAAATTAATTGTATAAGTAGGCCTACTTACTAATAATCAACATCTAAGTTGTATTACTATGTTCAGTGTACTGTTACCGCTAACAATCTATTTTGTTCACTGTTATATACTAATGTTCTATATACATGCCATATCACAGAACGCGGCATCTGGCAAACTAAGTTCATGGTGATGATTGTCTTGATGCGTCGAAACACTTTTTCAATACTATAACCAAATATTGTTGAAACTTAGTCGCACCGAGATATACTCTGTATATATTTATATATTTTATTTCCAAGGTGAGAAGCTGGAAGAGGAAAGGGACTTTGAGTACATCGTTGATTCCAACAAGTTACAGATTATTTTCCTGGAAAATATTATTCCTGGTGAATATGCAGTAAGTGTGTTTTCCTCAAGTGATAGCCTGGTTCAAGTTATTGGTTTTGCACCAAGCCCAATAGATGTAAGGTATAGGTTTTACTACGAGAAGACAGTCGACATGACGGAGGCAACAGAAAGACCATACACAGTACAAGGTAATTCTCTAGATTTGGTTGATTCTACTTTAATAATGAAGATGTATATATATATATATATATATATATATATAATAAAGAATGAAGATAATATATAATATATAATAATATATTATATAATATATAATATTATATTATATAAATGATTGATGATGGTGATAATGATGATGATGATGATGATGATAATGGTGATTATATCGATGATGATGATGATGATAATAATGGTGATTCTAAAGATGATGATAAAAAGTATAGTTCTGTGAGTGAAGATTCGATAAAGTGCATACCTCCTCCTAATCACTTTGTTAATGTGATTTTGTTTTCTCATTCTTGAGCTTTGAGCTTTCCACTTTAAAATTTAATCAGCTCTTCTTAGATCTATAATGTATGGCTAAATTTTTTGACAATCCATTAATTAGATGTGTCATAAACATATTAACATAAAATCGAAATGGAGGTGAATACATAACCTCTGCAACAGAGGTAATAATCATTCATGACAATATAAAAGCAAAATCAACGCTTAGTTAATGTTCATCGCCTCCTTCATACCATTAGCAATAGTAGGCTTAATCTTAATTACGGTACCGTCTATGATCATTTTCAGGATCATACAACTTTATGCTCATGCAAATTGAAAACACCGAAACCAATGAATGGTATGCTCACGAAATGATTCAAGAAGTGGAATTTGTTTCGCTGGTTGGCGAAGTGTTACCAAAATATAGCTTTTCTATGGGCTCATCAAACTTCGTAACACAAGAGGGCGCAGATAATGCTCATTACGTTCTACAAATGCAGCCACCGGAGGATCATTTCTACATCAGAATACGTGGGGTTACTAAGAACCAACCATTCCAGAGATCATCCAAAGTAGCTTACTCTCAATGGAGACCAGGTATATAAACATTTCGTAATTATATTACTAGCAGTATTAGTATCATTACGCAAAATGTATTCTACCGATAGATCTAATTTTCCAGATAATGTGGAATTAAAATATAAATTGGTCATAAAAATCCTCTATTTACCTGATTGGGAAACGACCATTTCTTCAACTACAGTATTTAAAGTAGTACAGTATTAGTAATACAAGCATATATTTCATTTTAGTAGTAGTTTATTAGGTAGTTATTTAGATAGTTACATAACCAGAGGCAGCAGTAGCACGATCACCAGTAAATAGTAACCGCAAATTGTCATAACACTAATTGTAGTGCTGCCTTTAAACTAATTCACATACTTTTCAATCATGTAAATTATGCATTGCATTTTGTTTACCCTCAACAGTTCCGACTCAGCCGTCAAGTTTTATTGTATTCGAATTTGAGAACTGTGATTACGAAGCTATTTGGTACGAGCCGAAACACATATTTACAAAATCTTTAATTGGATACCAGTTCTCTTTTGGAGCGGAGGCAGATGCAGCAATAGATTTCCAGCTACCGTCAAATGTAACGTCTTACAGAGTGAAACAATTAGGTTAGCCAACAATTTTTTTACTTTGCTTCTTATGATTATTATATATATGGCCTTAGGCCTATATAAATAGGACATTATATGTGTATATATGTATCAAAACATCAAGCGTAAATCCCATGATTTTCCAGTTAATATTCGTTGGTTTTGTGTTTTCTTAACATTTTTATCAGCACTGGTACATAATAAGAAATGTATCCAAGATCTGAATCTGGTTATTTTAATAAATACCTTTCTTTTTAAAATCATATATAAAATTATCGGCATTAAACTGAAGATCCATAGTAAAGAGTAGATTTTTACGTAATTTATGTACCACATCACCGTATACAATATAACTGAATTTCTCATTTTACTTTAGCAAAAGGACTGACTTATGTATTTACTGTGGCTGCCATAAACGAAGCCGGCGTGGGCGAAGCAATCTCGGTCACCGTGGTCACCCCAACAGACAGTATGTATGAAGCTTAACGTCTACCCGAGAAGAATATTTTAAAAGCTGCATTCCAAATTAGTAAAACTACTCACTATTTAAATTTGTAATCATGCATTATGTTTTAATGTTGAAACATGTTTGTGTTGATATTCGTATATAGATATCTACGATGCATTTCCATAGAATCGCTACACGCTGTTCCCGAGAGCTTTCGGTGATGCTGATTGGTCGGTCGAATCAGGGAGCCTTCCCGATTGCGTTGTGGACTGCTATGCAGTACAGTGATTGCTCTAAAAATACTGCAGCGACACTCAGTCGCTGATCCATGGGGGGTTCAAGGGGTTCGGACGACCCCCCCCCCCTCTGTGAAGAAACGTAACAAAATACTAATGAGCTCTGGCTTACAAAAGGCATGCTAATCTACCTAGGCATAGGTTGGCATGCAGATCAAAAAAACTATAGGCTTAGCCCAACTAGCTTTCAATTAAAAAAATTTAACAAACACTGTTTTTGGTTCAATGTCGTAATAATGTCAGGGGCGGCACTAGCGGGGGTCCTGCGGGGGAAAGAACCCCCCTCCCGTCGGGAACCTCTGTACCCCCGCTTGGACCCCCTGTCAGGGAATTTCCAGCAGGGTCGTCTTGGAAAAATAAAATCTCGACTGCCGAAAGTACAAATTATGTATGCCTGACTAAACTGTCAAATTTTAGGGATTAAAAACTGTGAAAGTATTAAATAATATATTGCATATGTCTTTTTTTCTCTATGTATGGGCCTAAGAATGAGATAAAATTACCTGACCTTTTTCAAGAGAGGAAAAACCTTGAATTTTGAAGAACTTAAAAAGTCATTAAAAGACACCTCAGAAGTCGGGAAAGCTCATTTTTTGGCCATCGAAGAATCAAAATGTTCCCGAGGGGAGGACCCTGGACACCCCCTCCCTTTCTTTTTGGGGTTTTTGGGAACTTTCTGAACCCTCCTCCTTGAAATCCTGGATTCATATTTTGATTAAAATAATCATTGTATTTTCTAGAACCACGTGCACCACCAACGAACATTCGTCTCATTCAGACCACGGAATCCCTGATCGAAATTGCCTGGCAACCACCCATGGCAGAGAGCCGTGGTGGAAATATTATTGGATACACAACGATACATTATCGGATGTCTGATCCATGGAAGCGCTATAGGTTCAACACAAGCAAGAACCATGTTGTATTCAAAAAACTGCGTCCAAACACAGAATATGGCTTCCAGATTGCGGCCCAGACCATAATCGGCCAAGGACCGTACAGTCAAGCTGTCGTTTTCAAAACACAGTTTCTGGGTATGTTCAGTAATCAAAGTAGGCTCTAATAATTACTACTGTCTGTATTCATTATGAGTTAAAATTGAAGTTCATAAAAATAGTGTTTCAAAAAATGCATGTTTATATATTTACAACCATCCATTGTTTTTTAATGTTTAAATTTCAGCGATTCCTAGCAATGTTAGTCCTACCCAAACACAGACTACTATCCAGCCACATATAGACACCGATGAGCCGAACGTGGGTATAGATTCAGCTTTACATGGTCCTTCAGAAGTAAAGTCGGTAGATCAACAAAATGAACAAAAATCTCTCAATATTGACCCAAATGAGCAGACACAAAATGGCCAATTGAATGTAACGACTGATAAACCAAAAATAGACAAAATTGACACGGAACTGAAAGCAACAGTTATACCTGTTAAGGGCGTTACTATTATGGATGATGTACACTCCAGTTTAGAACTGGGATCACCTACACCAAGTAAAGAAAAAGCTGTTTCAAACACGACCCCTTCGGAAAGTGAATTGAATACTAAAGTGGAAGCTCAAACAGACAACCCGACAGTGTCTCCAGTATCGGTAGCACGTGGAAATAACTCGGATGGAGATATTACACGTAATGACATATCAGATGTTAAAACTGATACTCAACGATCAGGAAATAAAATAGTTAGAGGAGATGTCGGGGAATATGACGGATCTTCGTACACTAATAACAGTTTATCAAGAATCATCGCATATCCTGTCAACGACCAAGGGTAAGTATAGCAACATACGTAGTGCCTGTAGGTTAACTTCTATTTCAAAGTTATATACATTTTCTTTTCTTTTTTTTTATTAGAAATGGTTATAATATATTTACCATGAAATTCTCTTCCAGTGAAACGGAGTCCAACCATGGAGAAAATGGAGGATCATTCATCACCCTTGAAAAAAAGCTTGCAGATTTGACACAACCAGTTGGTGGCCGTGCAGTATTTCTTTGTCGAATAAAAGGGAGCCCGACTGTCAACTACAGCTGGTACCTTGATAATGAGATCATCGATGTGCAAACGTTTAAGAATATTAGGGAAAAGATGATTCCTCACCGAGGAATGCGCCTTACAATCCGTGATTTGACCCTCATCGACCAGGGCGTATATACTTGCCGTGGAGAGAATGAATTTGGTAAAATTGAAACATCTGCTGTACTCAACGTCAGATCCGGTAAATTAATGTGTTATTTTAATCCCAAAACATAGGACTAAAACGTGATAGTAGGCCTATATATTAGTCCACTTCAAGCATTTCTTCAATTTAATCCTATCATTGCATTTTACAAATCTGTTTTGTCTAATGTGCCGCCTTGTGTCTGCGACCATGCCATTGTTATGGCCTGCTAGTAATTCCATAGAACATCACATAAAAAATGAATCACATAAAATGTCTCATTTATTTTTATAAGAATCACCCAACACAAGGCTAGAGCCGTTACAAGTTATGGGTTAGTGAGTATAACTGATATAATCTTTGTATATTTTTAGGTCTGACGGGAATTGTGACCGACCTCCAAGCTCCAATTGTCTCCAGCAATGCCGTTACCATTAAGTGGTTTCCACCATTACTTCATCCTAGCGATGGACCCCTTGTAAACTATGTCGTATACATTTACAAACTGAGCCTGCCATCGGAGATATACAAATTTGAGACTAACGTCACTGAGCTCGTTTATGAGAACTTGGAGGCGAACACTGAGTATGTATTTAGAGTGCGAGCAGTTACATCTAAGGGTAAGGGACCGTACTCATCATTACCTGTGAAGACTACCGCGGAAGGTAGGTTGAAATCTTATGCGTTTAAGATGAGACGAGCCCGATTACGCCAGGCGATGAACAGGAACCTCAACCAGAGCCGATTACTACACGAGATTCTGTGATAGAAAAACCTAATAGCATGAAGACAAAAGAACCAGTGGATCTAAAATCAGTTACAAATGGCATGACAGAAAATGAGATGGCAGGAGGAACATCTGTCTCTTATACAGTAATTGTTTATGGAGACCCTGCAAAGCCTGCTGTTGGAGATAAAGTTACAGATAATCCATACAGGGAAGTTAGTAAAGGACAAGAAAATACAAATGGAGATATTGATTCTAAATATGTTGAAACAGAAGTGGTTGATGATGCGAAGAGCCATAAGTATGATGGTGAAACAATAATGACGACAGTGGCGACGGAAGAAACCAAATTGGATGAGAGCACGGTTGGTAAACTGGATACAACCGATATGAAAGAAGAATCAGACAATTATCCTATTGCAGAACCTGAAAAATCCAAAGAAGAAGAATCAAAAAGTGAAGAGACACCACAGCAAGAGGACACCGAAATGGACAAATCTGATGAAAACATTAGTTTGACTACGCCAGGCGATGAACAGGAACCTCAACCAGAGCCGATTACTACACGAGATTCTGTGATAGAAAAACCTAATAGCATGAAGACAAAAGAACCAGTGGATCTAAAATCAGTTACAAATGGCATGACAGAAAATGAGATGGCAGGAGGAACATCAGAAGATCCTGATAGTAAACAATCTGAAGACGTTGTAACACCAGGAGACGGTAAACAAGAAGCACTACCAGTGTTGATGGAAGACCACGACAGTAAAGAAAATGATGTAACGGAAATGTCAAAAAGTGAGAGACCTGAATTAGAAATCACAATGCCATATGATATTGATTCAGAAGCTGAGGCCATAACAGATGCACCTACTCAAAATGATGTTCAAAATACGGCTTTACCACTTAACACACATCTGGACGATATTGGAGTTGTTGGTCACTCTATCGGTCCTGATTCTGAACAAGAAAATATCACAAAAAGCATGACATTAGAAGTTAATGAAAATACAGATTCCACCTATGACGAATCCAACACGATGAGGAGCGTTGTATTGGATCACAAAATAGATTCTGATAATATTACTGTGGCGAACGGTGATTCCCACTCTCTTCCAGTGGATACAAATGGAGACAAATTGACAGTAGACCTTGGGCCAACAACTACAGAGAACATACCATCTGATGATGTTGATAATGGTGATGGTGATAAAGATGATCACGATGAAAAAACAGACGAAACACAGCCAGAGTAAGATTTATATTCATAATAAAAATAATTATAATTGTATTATGTCAATAGGCTATTCTACTTATTATAACTATTTATTATTATTATTATTATTATTAGGATTAGGATTATTATCATCATATTATTATAATTATTATTATTATCATCAGCATTCTCGTAGTCATCGTCATCCCCATTCTTATTAATATCTTATTATTACTAGATATGATAGATATGTTAAAATGATATTACTATTATTAATATTATTTATTGCAATCCTAACGATATTGTTATAAATAAGACTAAACAGAGATGAAATTACAATTATTATTATTATTGGTTACAAAGGGAATCTGAATTAACCGACGAGGTACCACACATGACAGTTGCAGCCCCATTACAACACAGAATTATTGACTACAACGGTAAGGCGACTGTGAGATGTTTTGTGACAGGCTACCCAATGCCTTCTTACGAATGGTACCACGAAGGCAAACGGATACCAGTAGTGAGAGGGCGTATTAAAGACAGAGTCTTCGGATGGGGATCAAGAATTATTATAAAGAATATAACGGAAGCTGATAAAGGACGCTACGCCTGTGTTGCAAAGAATTCCGCAGGAGAAAGGACGCTTGAAGGCAGTGTGACTGTTAGAGGTGGGGTTTAAATTAACGTTGTTTAAAACAAGATTTTGTATCTATCAGTCGGACGCCATTTTCTTCACTGACAAACCATTGATCCCAATTTCTAACGTAATTATTAAGATGTTGTATCTTTTAATTGATGGTAAAATGTGTGTTCGATAACTAATATAATGTGAGCTTTTGTGTTTTTAGTACATTTTGATGATAAAATATTAGATTTTAAAATGCCTATTCCTTAAAGCCTATGAAGTCATTCAGGCGTAATGAACGGTAACTAACGTCTGTTGACAACAGAGAGCGCCAACTGGCTCGTGACGACACGACTGTGGTGCTCTATTGAAATTAAGCCGATAGAAAGTTTAATGTGTGTAATCACAATTAGCTCATTTATAAACCCCTCTGTTTTTATTTCCATTACAAAGCACTTTTATTTTATTTCATACTAATTATCATTAACAATTTATATTTTATGATGTACGTTATGTATGTAATATTCTTTGTTTTTTGGTGTTTTGTTTTCGCCTAATGTGATATTAGGAGTTGCAAAAGTTGAAGATATCCAAGTAGTAATTATGTCACCAACTGAAGCACTTGTGGATTGGAAAGCACCTAGTTACATTGCATCAGGTGCCACTTATATTGTTCGATTTTACACTGAAGATAACCGTGCACTGAAGTATCATTTCTCTACAACAAGAACTGAAGCATATTACAGAAATCTTATTCCAAATATGGCTTACACGTTCAGAGTTAAGATGCAGCGAGGAAACAGACTTAGTGTCTTTAGTGACCCAATCACTGTGAGGACATTTCCATTGGGTAAGTATAGGTACTATGTAAGCAGACGACTATTATAGTCATCTATGATTAGGCCTATGATAGGCCTAATGTCAATGTGTTTTGCATTCAGGGTACAATTGAGATAAGCATTTGAGCATTTGATTCTAAGCTGTTTCCTAATCCTGTACATTACGTGAGTTGAATACATGCATTAATTAATTTATCGATGGTAAGTGGGAAAATATGAATAGTAATTGAACACAATTTATTTATTAGGACCTAAGGATACTGATGGAACCACTGAGATCTCTCCTAAAGTCACTAAAAACACCAAAATGGCATCACATACTAATATCGAATCAACTACTGCTTCCATCGAAGAAAAATCTGTGTCAATCACTAAATCAACGAAAGATGAAGCAGATGTTGCAAAACAACCCACACCTGCATTTCCGAGTCCAGAGGAGGTTGGCATGACTACTAATGCCCCAGAGGAAGATATTCCAGTTGAAACAACTACTGAATTGGCTGAAAGTTTGCTTATAACTGATGCTCCCATTCCTTACGACACAAAGGATATGATACCGAGTACGTTACCTGAAGTTGCAATGAATATTACTACTTCACCAGTACTGACTACTGACACTCATAAAGAAAGTACAACAGTACCACTGAAGATAACACCTTCAGATGGAATTGAATCCACTACTGCTGGACGTGAAATGAACCCTGCGGATTCAGGAACATCTGAACCACCAATTCAAAGGCTAACTCCTACAACTGTTTCCGGGGCACAAACCTCAGTGAAGGCGGAAGATGTTACACACAAAAATAATGAATCTGAATCAACAAGGTATTAAGAATGTTACTATATTGTGTTAACTATTATTATATTATAATGAAACTTAACTTTACAATTTATAGAAAATGATGTTTTACACTTTTACAGACAACCAGCCGCTGAAGATTATTTGCGGTTAATTAAACCATTGGAAAGCGTTACTGCAATTGTTGGAGAACGCGTTCTTCTGAGATGCTTGGTAGAAGCCAAACCACAAGCTACTTTCCTCTGGAACAAAGGCGGCAATCCTTTAGAAACCTCAGGTTCTAAGATTAAGCAGAGGCAGTTCTTGAAAGGTTCGATGCTTACCTTTAAGTCAATCAGCATGTCAGATGCAGGCATGTATACCTGTATAGCTCTTAATAGTAAAGTTGTTGAAACATCTGGTAACATCACAGTCATTCCAAGTAAGTTAAAAATGTTTTTTTAGTTTAGAAACCTCTTGATGTCGTATTTATCTACACAAATGTTCAACGTAAATAGTAATTAAACTACATATCTCATGAACATCTGTTGTCATACTAAATATTATTTTAAAAATTAAGTAAGCTTAATTTAAAAATTATATGAACACTGTGTGATCTAAAAACGTTTTAAATGTTTTTATTAAGTTTTTATATGGTATAAATACATCAGTTGCTTAATTCAGTTGTAATATTCTTCAAAAGATGGAATGCAAAAGACAACGAAGGAACCAGAACCAAGCAAAAGTCACACCGTTATGAAACGATCTGTAAGGCCTGAGGACGGCGATAAACCGGTTTCCCATGCATCGACAGGAACCTACACTACATTGTTACCAACACTGATGGAGGAGGCATTTGTCACGCCTGATGCAGAGTCACCAAAAATAACAACAGTGTCGCAGCACGATTCACAAGTAGTCACACCTGATGATAAGACGGTGGTAGTACGGGTTACAGCAATTGATCCAGAAAAAGTAGAAGAAACAGGTTTGGGTAGTCTAAATGCCCGCCCATCTCAGACATGGGATTCTAGTCGTAGGTAGGTTCCATGTAAGAGGTTTAACATTCCTAATTCGTCTTGGATTGGTGGGTGGATTTATACGGTGTAAAACACCAAGGAAAACTCACAAGAGTCTGAAGAAAACTTATTTCAAAGGGAGTCCTTCTGGTGGTGATTGGACAGTACATCGGGAGACAAACCCCTACTCTTTTCCGAATAGTGTACTGCTTCTTTAAGGTGTTCACGGCCACAATGCATACGGGACCAAGACGATGCGCGCTATCGTGACTTGCATTTCAGCCCTCCAACTGGAACACAAGTACAGTAGCGATGGGAATTGAACCGGGGACCTAGAGATCTCCACGGTTCAGCGCGCACACAGTTTAGCCGACTGAGCTAAGCTGCTATTCCTCTTCTTATTCCGGTGCCATGTCAGACCATGGAGGATGTAGTCAGACCAAAGTTCTATATTACAGGATGCATGATCAAATTTATAGCGTCTGTCCTATTTTTTACTAATCCCTATGTTGTCTTATACTGTGGGCTAAATAGATAAGCGTGTAAGTTTGCAAAAATCGAAAATTGCAAAGCGTTTCGATTTTAAGAATTCACGATCAAACGTTGTGAGTGTCGAGAGTACCTTTCAAATAATGCTCCAAAGACCTTGCACCAAAAACCGAAAAAAAAGATAATAATGCCAACCTCTTGTAAGCAATATTGACTGCTATGAGGGGAATGGTGAAATCTATTGCCCCTCTCTCCACATCACCGAGGGGCAATATATTTCACAGTTACCCGAATCTAGAGCAGTGAATATCTGTTTTATATACCACATACATAGATTGTACGAGGCCTATGAGTCTACCTCTTTCTCATTTCCTAAATTTCAACAGCACCCATAGTTTTTTTATTGCCCGCTTCTTAAACAATCCGATCTTAGAATCTATATTTGAGGTATAATACCGTCTAATTATTGTGCGCTGGACATGATTTTAGTATTAAACGTATAAAATGAAAATAAAATGATATATAATTAAGCTGATTATCACACACTGTTTCGCAAATTACAAGAATATCGATAAGAATTGTAAAATGGTATATAGGGCCTACATAAATAATATGACGTCAATCTTTTTAATTTAATATAACCTATATTTTTACAGAAATGAACCGTACGTAGAGATTAAGAAGTACATGGACGATCAGAATGTAGAGGTTGGTGATAGAGTGGTGTTTCTTTGCCGAATTATTGGTGATCCTAAACCTCGATTTCTGTGGTACAAAGACGGTGCACCAATAGTATTTGATGACACTCGAATGAAGGAAAGGGTACTCGAGGCAGGGTCAAGATTCACTATCAAAAGAACACTTTTGATTGACGCAGGAGTCTATACATGCTACGGTTTGAATGATTACCAAACAGTTTCGATGCGAGCTACGTTAGAAGTCTCTAATAGTCAAACGTGTGAGTGCATTTAACAGTTTAAATCTCTTTTTGAATTTTTTACAAATTATTTATCGGGAATCTAGACAAAACATTGATAATCTGTTTTTACATGAAGTAACGACTTATGGCTATGCAAGTAATAGTGCCGTGGTGGCGCTATATCAGTTGTATATTATCCCCTGCATGCACATTATACAACATTCCCTGACTGCTTAAACGCTATATACCATAACAGTTGAGAGACTTGTATGATAATAAAACGATATTAATATCATTGAATTATATTTCTTTCATAGATGTCAGTCCATACTCATACCCTCAACCATCTACCAATTCACCAAGGACTAAACCAACTAAGCCAAGAACTAAACCGCAGGCTGAAACAACGTCACTTATTAGCTACCAGCCAACCGATCCATTTACACCTCAAGCAACAAAAAGGTAGACTGCATTGCTATGATCTATATTTTCATACTGAACATTTCATTAATACTGTACAAACAATGGAAAGATTTACAGGAAGGTAGCAATTTACATTAAACACACAAATAATACAATTATATAGAATAAGCACGTTGAGATTTCTGACTGCAGTTTGATTTAGTATGTGTAAGTATGTGTATTCAATAATAGTACCCGATTATACGTGAAAACAATACGTCAAATGATTTTCCTTCCAGTTACACTAAACAACCTGACTGCATTGGCGAAATTTCAAAACTTTGTCTCACCAACGAGCTGGTTGGTAAGAAGGTTGACATAAATGAACGGATCTCTCTTCGATGTCAAATATATGGTGATCCCCAGCCAGAATACCGATGGTATAGAAATGGCGAGAGAGTTTATCCATCGAAGCTTGGACCAATCAGAGAAAAGATATTTTCTTGGGGTTCGCGTTTGGCTTTTAGGGGCGTTCAAGAAAGTGACACTGGCGAATACCGTTGCCTGGCTATCAATGCAGCTGGTATCAAAGACACAAAAGCATGGCTTCTAGTTGGACCATGTAAGTCAGCATAGATTATATTTATTTGCGATATTGTCTGAATATTAATTACATTAATTATTAAAATAATGATTATTATATTAACCTTTTCACTTTCCGTACACTCACATCTGTAAAACCGCACATCCCCTTTTCTAGTTCATCTTTTTTGTTGTATGATGCTATTGCCATTACATTCATCATTAGTCAGTTTTAATAATTGTTAATGGCCCATTTTGAGAAGCTCCAACTCTTGATTATAATGCTAAGATCGAATAAAAAGCGATAGCGTAAAATGTACGTAAATATTAACGTATTTTCTGGACGTGTGCGTGTTCCTGGCCCTGTTTGATTGACAATCAAAAAGGTTCATTTTCACATAGGTAATAAAACTAGATAATCTGAAATCAGCAACAAATCAGTTAAGTCTTGCAATGTTTATATCATGTTAAGATGCAACAATTCCGCCAAGAATTGAAACAGAACCACCGACTACCACGGTTAATGTACAAACAACACCAGCAAAAACGAGGCCTCCAAAAAAGACACCCAAACCGACGGTTACAAGACCACCAAAGAGGACGACTCCACGCATTGAACCAACTGAAGTATTTCTACCATCCACTACACCAAACCCAAATGCCAAGTAAGACTATATATCGTTTATAATTAGCGTTTAACAAAAAAAACAAAAAAAAGGCAACGAGTTAGTTTCTTCACTTATATACCAGAACTCTGTCAACTATTTTGTCTTTGAAGATTTAGATTATTTATAAGATTTCAAGTTTCACACTTTTGTTTTCGTTGTCATATTTAGGGTAAAGTGTATCTCTGGCAGCAATGGTGAGCTGTGTTATACCAATATGCAAAATCAAATAGGTGAAACAGGTGGCTACGTAGTCTTATCATGCAGAATCACAGGTACACCTGCACCTTCATATACCTGGTTTAAGGACGGTGTTCTCATCGTCGTGGAAGACGTAGACGAGGCAGATGAGGAGTTGCATCGAATTCGTATAAAGACGATGCCTTGGGGATCTCGCCTGGTAATCAAGGGTGTTCGTTACAGTGATGCCGGTACCTATTTCTGTGTTGGTTCGAATGTGGTTTCACACATTATACAAGCTGATTTGAAAGTTGTACAAGGTTCGACGTCAAGTGAGTTCCATTTTTAATAGCAATTCACTTCAGTTCATGATTCATTTTATTTTGATAAAGAAACTTGTCTTTTGGTGCGTTTCGGTATACAAAACCACAAAAAAAAGATCCAAAAAACAACATCTAAATAATAGATCAGTCTATCAATCTATCACTCAATCAGTCAGTCAGTCAATAAATCAATCAATTAATTGATTAATTTTTATTAAATCAATTCCTTATTAGATTACCAATTTTGTTTTTATTCAATAGTAACAATCTCGCCAAATGAAACTCATTGTTTTTGTCAAGATATGCAGTTTTGATTTTAAAACATGATTATTTGTAAATGGTTCATAAAGAATAAAAATGTTTAATAAAAGGTGTATCCGCGTCATTCTGCTATACAATATAAGAAATGACAAATCTCAGCACTTACAAAAAAAAAAAAAAAAAAAAAAAAAACATGATGTCTCCTGATGAAATCCACTAATAAATGTTATAATTTGTCTTTCAAATTCCTATTTTGTCATTTCTTAAATTGTTATCGTGTTACAGAGCCAAAACCTAAGCCATCAAAGCCAAAGCCTTCGAAGCCTAAAACACCGAAACCACCAAAGTCTAAGACACCAAAACCAAAACCATCGAGACCTGTCGAAGAGAGAACACCTCCTCCAGTTCACAAGCCTAGACCTGATAGTGGTGCTGGGAATAATGGTCCTGAACAACCCGAAGGAGGGTAGGTATTCATTTCTTACACGAGAACCACTATAATTTAAAATTTCTAATGATTCAGTAACTTCCTTCCTCGTGTTTCTTCCCCCGTTACCTTCACTTCGTTCTTCGCAATCTTCCATCACTGGTAAAAGTTTGGATGCATTGTGCCTGCCACACTTTTTCACGTGGACTCTCTGTAATTTACAGATACCATTTCTATGTTTTTGGTCAACGTTGTCTTAATCTTTAACCACCCCATTCTCTCAGCTTTTCATAAGTTGTCTGTGCATGTTTATAACCTGTTTCGTGCTTTAGTTGGGGGATTATTTGAAACATGTTGTGTTGTTGAAATATTCCAGTGGCCTACTGAAATATCGTGAACGTACAATAACAATTAACATCCATGTATAGGCCTACTACCTAGTTTTACAGATAAATGTTCTTGCTACTACATTGTGTTTTATTTGTTTTGTTTGTTTAAATGTATGTGTAAATTTAAATATGTGACTCGTCTCTTACATAGACCTGATGATGGAAGATGTGTAGTCTACACGGGTTCCACTTGCAGGCGTTACCTGAAGTCACAAATGGTTTATATTGATGGCGGTGTCGACCTTTACTCAATTGATACGCAACTACAAGCTACCTTGCAGACTCTATCTGCTATTGATATGCAGTGTATCAATTATCTGGAACCGTTTCTTTGCTTCAAAGCTTTCCCTCTCTGCGATGATTATGGCAGTCGCAAAAGTCTTTGTCAAGAGGACTGTTCTGTTCTTACTCGAAGCTATTGTCGTGATCTAACTGATTTGAAAGCTGTCTATCCAGGTCAATACCTCTGGATGCCTTCAAATGAAGACTGCCTATCATTGCCGTCAGTAAGACAGGATAGCGATTGCACATCAGTCGGACTAACAAATTGTGAGTTGAAGTAGGCGCTACATCATACATTACACATTATGGTCTTAAACATACACATACTCGCATAGGCCTACTCATATCCCCACAAACAGATATTCACAAAATATGTACATAAAGGTGATGAAACGCGAACATTCATTTAAATGAGACCCATTCAAACAATAGAGGAAGCTTCACTAGTAATTCCCATAAAAAAAATAAATCACTTTTAAATATCATTTTTTCTTTAAAAAGTTGTGCATTTTCACAACTTTTTCACTCTCACTTTTGTAATTACTGTATTTTTATGTAATTGCAATTATGGTATGGAGAAACTGCTGTATTTTATCTGTCTCTTATCCACATCTAGATGTGTATAAGAGACAGGACTATATATCGTTTATAATTAGCGTTTAACAAAAAAAACAAAAAAAAGGCAACGAGTTTATATATATAATTGGCAACCGTTTAGTTGTTGGATTTTAGCAAATATAATAAAAGTGCTAATAACGGAACGAAGATTTCTTTTCAAAACGCAAGTGCTTATTTCATATTTTGTAGTATTATCACGACAGGTGTATTCGTTAATGTTTCCGAAGAATGATGAGCAATATAGTTGACCCCCACGCACCGTTCTTCCACCCACGTGTTTGAGCACAATTGGTTTAAATGTTGCCAGAAAACGGTCTTCCTGTTATTTATTAAAATGAATTAATAGGCCTACTTTACATTTTTCCGTTTCCATCATGTTTGAAACTCATGTCATATTTTATATATCCACCAACATTGATAAAAATTTCAATCAAATATTAAGTTTTGATCAAAATTCGATAACTCAATCAATTATTCAATAATAATAATAATAATAATAATAATAATAATAATAATAAGTTTGGACTTATATAGTGTCTCACGTTGTCACAACTTCGAGGAGCATAATAACAACAAAAAGAAGAAAATAAACCATAAACGAATGTACAATTGTACCATAATTTTTTTATCCAATATTTTTTGTTTTAGTTTAGATTAATTGAGTTTAACAATCCTGACAGCAACAAGCAACTAGGCATTAAATCATTAAATTTAATAAAATAACCTCTCATTATGTTAATAAATCGATTCTTAAAGTTGGATTCAATTAATTGGTTAACACAGTTCTAATTATCACTTATATTTTTGTTTTCAGCCAACAACAATAAGTCTCCAACTGAAGGGTAACGTTCGCTTTTATTTCTTTAGCATTTACTTTTAATACTGAATGTTCAATCAATAAGTTTTTTTTGTTTTGTTTTTTGTAAACGTTTAGCTATCTAAACTATGAAAATTGTGCTTTTGGCTTTACTTGAAATCAGATGAATTTGTTAACGTTAATCTATATTCCGTTTTTGCAAGAGTTGTCATGTGGCAAATCTTCGTTGAAATGCGTTTATTTAGTACATTCCTATTAATTTACGACTGAATCTATATCAATACAATTGACCAATGAAATAATGTATATAAAGAGTTATACTTCAAGGCATATCTCTTCATGTCAATAGGCCTATAATCACCTGACTCAACTTCTGTTTCTTGCTTTTCGTCACTCATAACATAACCTGCAGGCAAATGAATCTAAATCAATATAATTGACAAATGAAATACTGTATATTATATAGTTATATTTTAAGTCGCAAATGATCTCTTCGTATCAATAATCATCACTTGATTCAACTTAGGCCTATATCTCTTTTTTACGTCACTCAGAACGAAACCTGACGGCAAATGCAAACCGTATAATACCGACGGGATTTGTAGCGAGTATGTAGGCAGCCGCAACACATTCTTCAAGTCTGGGTTCACCTTAGAAAGTATCGAGACCACCGTCATGTCCATCTTCACAGCGGCACTTACACTCGGCTCCGTCAGCAGAGAATGTTCCAATTACCTTCTTCCGTACATCTGCCTGCGTGCACTTCCGCCTTGCAACCGTAATGGTCGACCTCTGGAGGTGTGCCGTGAAGATTGCGACGTTCTTTCCAACGACATCTGTCGTGAGGATTTCAAGACTACACTAGCCAGCGATTCCGTTGATAACAGTCTGTTCATGTTAAATGATTGTTTATCTCTGCCATCTGAAACAGGAAAGTACAGTTGTACAACACTTAGTATAGCTGGAGAATTCAGAGGTAGGCATACAGTTAATTTTTGACTATATTAAAAGAGGGTCGGGAAAATAGTTTTAAAAAAAACCAGCTGAAATTAAAAGTTTTAGTAAGGCTACTACCATACCATAACATACAATAATAACTACATATATCAACACTTCTGTCAATATTCCTATGAATTCAAAATCTTTATGTACATATCACTAGCATCAATATGCTTTATTTACAACAAATTGCTGTAGAACCATCAGTATAGTATATATGTTTAATACTTTCAAATGGAAATGCTGAGACACAAAAGATTGAGAAACTCAAATTGGTGGTTTACCATCTAATTCTAGTTAGAAGATGGTACTGCGTGGTATAATGTACGTTATGACAATTTCACTACCCAACATTTGGACAGAATTATTTTTGAGTAAATGTAATTGCTATTGTACCATTTTATTTTATAGCAACTCAAACGGATGTCATCTTCCCAACAAGGTAATAACTTATTTCTTAAATGTTTTTTTCTATTGACTTCTTTTTGTTTAATTATTTTTATCGACACCAACACTGCATGCCTTAGTCGCACAAACCGTGTAATTGTTTTTTTTATGTTGATTATTGTACATGTTATTTCGTTTTTTTATTTATTTTCACTCACAATGATTTCTAATTGCATAATTTTCAATTTGAAAATTATATGCGACCATAATAACATATCTTGTATTACCAATGGTAACACAAATCTTTCAGAAATTGAATCAGTAGAGCAATATCTCATATAATTAAAATTAAAAACTATATTTAATATTCTAGATCTTTTAGATCTATTACATATGTATGATCCCGTTACAGAGAATCATTTAAGTATATTCTTTATTGACAAATGTTATAAATTTGGACGAACGGTTTGAATAGTCCACAGCCCACAAGAAATTGTGAACCCTATAAGGGAACTGTCTGCTCCAAATACTTCTCCGGACGCACTGTTTACCTTGAGCGAGGGCAGTCACAGGCAGAACTTGAGGCGGAGGTTAGCAAAGTACAGCAGCTCTTAGCCCAAGAGGCAGATATGGAAACGACATGTGAAAACTATTTATTCAAAGAGATTTGCTTCAACATGTTGCCAGTTTGCAACAGTCGCGGCAAGAAACGTGAAATTTGTCGAGAGGAATGCTCGCAGCTTCATAATGATCATTGTTATAAAGACTACAGAACATTACAAGTATTATTACGAGGACGTGATGACGTCTTAGCCCAGTGCTCTGCCTTGCCCAGAAAGTCAGAAATACGGGGCCCAACCTGTGTTGAGCTTGGTGTTGCGTCTCTGCCTCAGGGTGAGTCTTCACACCCTAATCAACTAGTGTACGATATGAATTGCACTCCCTGCTAGCAGTACAATCCTATTATTTATTCATGCATGTTTTTGATAATTACTGTATAATATTCACAAATATAAATTAGTGTCGGACATTTATTTTATGTTTACTGCATACTGCATTTGTGTACATAATGTAATATTGCAATGTTGTGCCAAGGTTGGGCCACACAGTGCAACCATGATTCTCTAACCTAAAATCAGTTATGTAGATTACGCTTTGACTAATAGCATGTTTCGTTTAAACGTTATTGAAACTTAGACATATAAACAGTAGGATAGCCATACATAATTAAATTTATAGTAGGGTAAACCACACTGTTATAATAGACCTACCTTTGTACATTAAAAAGTTACTGTGGCAGTTTGTATGCTGGTTTTGAGGAATGTATCCTATGTTGTAGCCGCAAATTGCTGCAATTAATTCGCAGTTCTAATTTGACCCTTATTATGTTTCGCTTTATCTAAACCTTGTAAAGATTCAGCTATTGTTGGTATCCGGACCGGGATTTTCTCGCATGGACGCACGGCAGCTAACGGTTAGCAGGATCCGGATCCTGCTAACCGTTAGCTGCCGTCTGAGAACATAGCCTCTGGCCAATAAGAAACTGGAAATTGTAAACGCGTACGTGTGATTGGTTGATGATAAAAACGCGCTCAACTTGCTAACCGATAGCGCTTGCTAACCGTTAGCAGTATCCGGATACTGCTAACGGTTAGCTCCCGATCCGGATACTAGGGCTCTCGTGAGAACCAGGCTTTTATCACCATGGTTGTAACAAGGTCATTGACAGCATCTGCATGTCAATTGCAAAGCCGTGTACAGACTATCACATCTTATTTGACAAAAACTTGGGACATGCCTAACTTGGGCACATCATATTGGCATACAACAGTTGTTTGTCAAAGAAAATTTGATAATCGGAAAATTTAGAGCTTAACGTATAGATACCATCATCAATAACACTGTGTGTGGTTATTTACATAATTCATATTAATGTAAGCACTAATATTACAGCTCAACTGCATAATCAAAACCGTCACCATACCCTGATTAGACTAGCATTTACCTAACCTAATAGCGTTTGTAATTCAGTTAACGCCAATGAAGCAGAAGATCATTCCATTTGTTTTTTACAGTTCCTCCACAAGTAGAAGTAGACCTAGAAATGGACTCGAATGAAAGGCAAACGTCAATAGTAACGCTGCGGTGCCGAGCAACTGGTTCCCCTCGACCGACAGTCGAGTGGTCAAAAGACGGTGACACCCTAGAGAGTACCAATACCATCTCATTAGAAAGAAACAAAGTACGGATTCGAGTGGTCAGTGAAAGAGAAGCGGGAACATACACTTGTACGGCACGTAATTCTGGCGGGTCGGACTACCAAAATATGCTCATCGAATTAGTATAGAATTTAATTGATCTGGTTTCACTCAAGATAAATAAGATTATGTACATAATTATCATGTTAAACACGTTCAGATGGTATAGAAAATGTAAATTAATGTATTTAAACAACTTTATGGGTTTGTGATGGGTTTATTTTAGTAAAGAAAGCAGGCGTAACACCCATAAGCGCTCACTTCCATAGTAGGTAGTTTTCGCCGCACGATGTTAACATTAACTTTAACGTCCCAACACGCAACACGATAGCTCCGCCCCTTTTGTAAACAAATCGAAATACGCATGCGCAAACCCGACGATGCGACGCTGCCTGCGGATTTTCGGTGACAGTCGATCCGTTGCGCACGCCGTCGTCTCATAAAGTTTTCTACGGGCTCTCGTCGGTCAAAGATCATTGTGTGCCCGGTTTTAAGGGCCAGATGCGTTAAAACCCCATGAAAATACTCCATTAAACGTAAAAAGCGGCCAGGGAGGACTGGGCTGAGGCCCACCCGCATCTCACTGTGGCCCTGTGCGTCCTCTCTCTGCGCTCCACGCTGGTAGGGCTTAGAAGAGGCTTTAGTCAGAGATCTCAAGCTTCATAGTTACGCAACTGGAAAGAAGATTCTATAATAATGAAATGAAAATTACTGCTCATAATAGCTTCATCATTTAGGTAATTCCTTACTGACATGCTGTCTGGTCTGGGCAGGTAAAATATTCAAGCTGTGATTCATGTATTTATACTTAGTATTGTCCGATTGAAACAATATTACATTTATTTATAATCAAATGATAGGCTAATATAAGAAAAAGCAATAGAGATACGATAATAATTTTATGTTATGAATTTAAAACTTTTTACATTAAATTAGGCCTACCGGTACACTAATACATATATAATTATTACTAATATTGTATAAGACGTATATGTATATAATTGTACAGCATTAAATCAAACTATATTATTGGAAATGTAATACGAGTTGATATTGTATTTCCGTATGTATGTATATCAACAATTAAAATTTAATCTCTAAACTGGTAATTAATTGTGTATTTGTTTTCCAATATATTTACATTGCATTATTCTAGATTTCAATTTTATAATCAAGTTCTTATCCAATATGCAGTATTTATAACTTTGTTTAATTTATATAATATATTGAATAAAATTCGATGGGCAAAAAAACTGTATAGACTCGGTAAATAAGTAGAAGAATAAAAAGCTTAAAGTCGAGTTTCATTTTTTATATTTCTTTTCAAGTTATTTTTGTAATTATTGGGTGAATCAGTCACGAGGATCTACACTTTTCTTTATAAAATATAATGTTGTTATGCATTATTGTAAACCATCCACACAATGGACTGTTCCGCTCTTAAGAGCGATACTCGTGGAGTTCGTTCACTCTGACTGTTGACGTCGTACTGTAGAACTCGCTGGCGGACGACGAACGAATAAGAAATCTGCAGATGCAGATGGAGGAGAGAAAAGAATATATAGGCTGTCTCTTATACACATCTAGATGTGTATAAGAGACAGGTGTATATATATAAAGTATTAATTTAGATTAGAGAGCACCTGTTAGACTTCAGATAAACTGCCAGCCAAAATAATAATCGGAAAAATCATAAAAGCTCAGAATTGCCAATTTAAAAGAATAACATAAGGTTATAAAACTTCCAATAAGACACTTATCAATCATAATCACTTTCTACACCAAACTCCTTAAATTGACTGATATTAATGTAAATGTGTATGGAAAGACTATAGGCCTAGTAATGGTATTAAAATTATTTGGTTTATCTTGGTAAGTCAGGCCTGATGTTACCATCAATATTGACGTTAGGCAGTCACAATATTTAATTAATTTAAAAGCCATGAAATACTGGCAACTAGGGCCGAAACATAACGTGAGCCACTTCACAGCTCATCAACTGTGGAAACAGGGGTAACTAAGCATGGCCGGACGAGAATGGTCAATGTGTGGTTCTAACCATGGACAGCAACGAGGTTGAGAACCTGAATAGAAATCGCCTTTTAGTTGACAGCTCACAACTTATTGAAATATACAAAGTAACTGATGATGTTCCTGGTATTCTCAATTAATAAATTCGATTTTCGTGGCGTTTTATGTTTCAAACACTATTTTACGACCGGCACCCCTCGCACCCTTCTTGGCTCAGTTAAATGGATGAATTCCCTACCTGTTGCAAAATTTACTATGAATTAAGCTGTAGGTGTCTAATCTATGCGCACCGAAATCGACAGAGATTGCGTCGAAGGTAAAACATTCTGAAGGTACTAAAGAAAACTTAATGGACATTGTAGTGAGGTATATGATTTAGTTGAAGATATTCATCTGGTTTGTAGATGCGATACAAAAAAATTCTATTTTTATCAAATAAGTAACTTGAAATGTCAGAAAAGATCAGTTTAAGTTACTTGGTTTGGTAGCTTAGAACTTTCTTATAAGGCTGATGGTTGTTAATCGCAATCATAATGCTCCATTCATTCAAACTGGTGTAGGACATACTCGAGATCTGAGAATAGAATGTTACATTGTTCCACCGATAATATCAAATAGACCACACGTTGCATTATATTATTGCAATGCAACGTGTGATTGTAAGAGTACGTTGATGAGACAGCCAGATTGGATATAATACTATGAATAACAGAGCTTGTATTGAATTAAGCAACTACAGGAGAACTAAATAGGCCTACCAATGGTTTGTACATTAAACAAACACAATTGGCGGATCCGTGAGTAGGAAATATATAGAAGAGACATATAGGCAGGTCTACCAACCCCATCACGGTTGTGGGTGAGGTAAATCATTTTTTGTCTATTGCATCTTTAGATGGTTAAACATTGCTCTCTCAGAAATGTTAACATAGTAACCCTTTCCCATTAAAAAAAAAAATAGGTCGGCAAGGCTCAATTAAATTAGCACCTGAACATACCAGAATAGATAATAACTGTTAAAACTAAACAGAAAAACTCTTTAACTAATACATACGAATAAAATATCTAGTAATAAATCAGGGATGGTGTTGGAACCGTTTGATATAATGTTTTTGGTTTCCCTGTCTCTTAACACTTGCTTTGTCAAAAAGGTAAGTAGGCACAGATATTCGGAGTTTCTTGGTTTCCGTTAATAATGGCACAACATTTTCGACGGCATTTTTTGACAATTCTACTACTTTGCCAATTGTATTTGGTGCTTGCGCAGGTCGGCGTATTGACGATATTTGCTTAAGTCTTTGTTGTCTTTCTCGTTTTTGTAATTTGTCGAGTTTATCTAAATGTGATGGCAACTCTCTTTCGCATTCCTCCGAGCGTAGTAGGTCTTCTGAGCTTGAAGACCATCCTAGGCTGGGCAGTGAAACACTCGATGTCATGGAAGAGTCGGTGGGGCATTTAGCCGACCAACTTAAACGCGAATCAGTCGCGCCGAAACGTACGTCAACATACGATCTTGTGAGTTGTGTTTTATTCAGAGCATCAGACGGCGGCTCCGTTTCTTCCTCAGACTGAACACCAGTTATCTTACTATTCCCCTTGTCTAACTCCCTGTTAATATTCTTCAGCATAGTTTCCGGTAATTGTGGGTGGTACTTTCGTGCGCGCCATCGGGCACCCATTTTGTCAAGCTCTGAACGGAGAGAAGCAATTTTGCGGTTTAAATCATTCCTTCGTTTTTCAGATTCCAGTTCCTGTTGACGTTTCCACTCCCGTCGATTTTCTTTTTTCGGTTTCTGAACCGCCGTGGATAAATTTTGTAGTGCTGGGGACTCTATTCTAAGCCTTTTATTTCTCGAGCGAGTTTTACGCCCGGAAGTTGACTGGGAGTTCCTTACTAATTCATGACCAGTTTCTGATAGAATCTGTGTTATATATTTGTTGCCTTCAGAATTACGTCGACCTACATAACCCTTTCGTGTTGATGAACTGTTAGTTCTACTACTAAAGCCTGTTCTAGGCCGGCTGTTGCGGGTGGAACTTCTTGATTCAAGTTTGAAACGCACGTTATTTTGAATCTTTCTTTGAATTTCAGTGACGGCATTCTGCCATCTCGCAATACTTGGCGATGTAACAATGGCAGAGTCACTTTGTGTTCTGTATTTACGCATCGGTGAACCTTTAGTACGCAATGAAATCTGGTCTGTTGTTTTAGCATGTCGTTTTGTATTTTCTGGTGTCATCATAACTTTAAGAATACGTATATCAGTGACCATACCCGAGCGTTGGCTGCCTACGGAAGTTGTCAGGAAACTATCAGGATGTGTATTATTCCGTTTATTTACGCTAAGTAGTTCGTCGGTACTCTCTGCCCCTGATAGATGCCCCGGAATCATTGAATCAGATTGTTCAGGGAGACCAGATGTCTTGCTCCGCCGCTTTAGTAATTTACGTCGCTTACCTTTAGTGTCCGAGTCAGTTTTATCTGAGTCGGAACTGTAGAAAACATCATCTGCATCATTCACTGGAATATCAGGATTCCTTGTTGAAACCCGTAACCGTGAATCCAGGTCAAGAGATAGAGTTTCCAAAACAGACGCGTTATTAGCATTGACCGAATCTGATAAACTATGTTGGGACAGACGTGAATCTGTGTGTCGCCTGAGAAGGCTTTTTGGAATCCCATTGTTAGACGCCATTTTACTCTTGCTTACCAACCACATAACGTCTTCGATGGAGTATGAACCATCTTTATGAATGTCAAAGAAACTTGCCAGTATTGATGGAGTCGGTTTTACTGGCGACGTTGAGCTGACTCTATAAGAAGGTGAGTTTTGCACTTCATAAATACGATATGCGGAGGTCAATAATTTCGCCATTGATTTTGTGTCATCATCATCATCATCTTCATCATTATCAGAATTACTGTTTATCTGATCATTTCCGAGTATTTTTGGTGCTGAATTCGATCTAGTAGAATTCTTCTTTTCAGGGTTACAATAAATACTTGATAGGTTCACCTCATTATTAGTTTCATTTGTTTTAGCCCATTCTAAAGCGTTCATAAAGTTGACATTGTCCCGTTTGGTGAGCGACGCAAGACCTACAGATATCAACACTTTTGCACATGCTACGAAGCCTAGCTTGGACGCTATCATCAGTGGTGTTTCGCCTAATTTGTTTGACAGATCCACAGATGAATGGTTCTCATTAAACACATTTATCATCATAGTAACTATATCTACGTCACCAGAGATCGCTGCGTGGTGCAGTGGTGAATTACCATCGTCATCCAACGTATTCAGGTCGTAATCCACTTGTGTGAGGAACAGTCTCACCAGAGCATGCTGCCTTCGTATACACGCGTGCGATAAGGCATTCCTACCGTTACCGTCAACTATACCTACTTGCGCTCCACCTTTCAGCAAGAGGCGAGCTATAGATGTAGCAACTTTGGTATGTTCAATACCGCAAGTAAGTATCAGAGGAGTTTTTGTGTCATCATCCCTGGCGTTGATATCATTGCTTGTACACTTGCAAGATTGCAACAGATATTTAACCTGTTTTACTCTGCCTTGAACAATTGCCCTCCGTAGGGCCATAATACATGACGGTTAATACTACCTTCCCACAGTCAAAAGCTTGCTATTCGAACAGTGTTGCAGAGCGTCTGAGCACTGATTATTACCAGGACAATATTAGGCCTTTCCGGCGCGGTACCATTCAATCGGAAGAAGTTAATTTCCAATGACACGCTCGTATAGAAGCGGCTTTTATGTTCCTTGGCGTGTGAATTGCGGCTGTATATCTGAAGAAATGGAATATGACAAGCTTTCCTCTGGTTGCTTTCTGTTCGAATGTATGCGCATGATTGTCTATTATAATTGATATCGCTTCCTCAATTTCGTTCCCTAGGCAGGTGCTGTTAGCTTCTTCTTAGTCCGATTTCTTATACAGTAGTGCTTTTTCGTATGTTGAGATAAATAGTTTACGGGAAATGAGTTTATCGACTTAAGATATTGTAATATATATTAATAACTAGCTACGCAGCTGTTAGCGTGAATACGTCATAACACATAATACTTGGATATTTTAATAATTTGAATCGTAAATGACAAAGGGCGGTAAAATACCGAAAAAACACAACAGCATTTATAAATATAATTAAATAATAAACTAGTGAAGATCTCAAGTCTGATTATAATAAACAAATTTGCAATGGTATTTCATTTGTGTGAATTCTTTCATCATTATCTGAACAAAATGATGTTAA